CGCCGCCTAAGTTGCTTTTCGTAGTTCCTACAAGTGTATACATGTGATGATTCTACGTCACTATGCATAAAGATGGAGGTTATCATTAACTTGTTCGCTCCCACCGCGCCTCTGATTGACCTCCACTTCATGTGGGTCATCCTCCACGCTTCCACCTCCACGCTCCATTCGAAGTGCCAACAACAGAAAAGCGTTGCACCAAGTCAACAGATCTGGCCAATCACAAGTCAACAGATCTGGCCAATTACAAGTCAACAGATCTGGCCAATCATGGTCGAGGATTCGAATCCCCAAAATGGACCCATTTCATGGATTCTGGTACTAAGTTCCGGAGTTTTCCTCAACCCTATAAAGCTTCAGAGGTTATTTTAAGGATAAAGATAAATACTCATCTCCGAAATCTCCCTAATATAACGATAGAGATTGACCACTGCGTCGGTACAGTACATACTCCGGAGTAGTACTCAGAGTACACTATAAGTACAGTAAGTCATAACTCTTTTTTGAAATATGGTGATGTGAGTGCCTTAAGATTCAGATTCATTTCTTTGTCGAGTTATCGTAATCTAAATTCTGCCTTAAATTGGCACTCTTGCATGAATAAACCGGTTGGACGATGTATCCTCAGTCAGACGCACACGAATGACACGTGTTGCAGGTTGATATGTATAACTCGTCTCGTTGTAGATGATGGAATTATCTGATGGTATACTGTAGACCTGTACGACGAACGCACGAGGCAAATGAAACGATTCGATTCTTTGCAGTCGTCGCAATTCGTGAGCTGTTATGGACAAACTACTACTAGTATACCATTCCGTCCCAAATCACTGATATTAGTTGTGAAATTAGAAAACAATCAATTTTATTAAAAGATTACCTTATACAGTACTATTGAGCCAATTACTACAAGGAAGATGTCATGGGTACATTTTATACCTTCCTGGGAATTAAATTATACAGCCGAAGACACCTACTTTCTTCACAGTCAAGTCCGGTAAACTTTTGAAAATTTTGGGTTGAGCGGCTGGTTTTATTTGAAGAATACACACGCAGCTTTTGGACGAAGGGCAATATAATTATATGACCTTTTTTATAGCCAAAAGTATTCTCTTCTGATTGGTGCAAATTTCACACAAATCCAACGATTGGTCATAAAACCACTATGTGGCAAACATCAAACGTGTCAGTGATTTGGGACGGAGTGGTACTGTAGTTTGGGCATCAACCTCATATCACATGCGCGGGGTGATGCAAAACTGACGACAAGCGAGGGCCGGACCTAAAGGGGGCGCCCTGGGGCTCCACATGGAGTACGCGGGGTTGTAACGCCGCTCCTGCTGTAAAGCCCCTGGCATCCGGAATCTACCAAAGAATCGGCTACAGCACTCCTTCAAGAGCTCTCACAGCTGATCTACTAGAATTAACAAGTAAACAAGTCGGAATTGAAGGTTCGTGAACAATGGATACGAGGACATGATAAGGTAAGTCCTTCGTTGGGGGGGATCAGCGGCGGCTGTTCTATTTAGGCTACGATTGCCCAAACAAGTTGCAAGCCGTCCAGCGAAGGCAAGTTGGCTTCGAAACACTCTCGGAAGCGTTCAATGGGCGCTCACCCGACAACATGCCGCCGCCCGAACGACGACACGACGATCGCTTTAGTGTGGTTGTGGTAGTTGGTTGCTCCGGCGACCAGCGCTACCTTTCGCCGCTACAGGAAACGTTGAGTAAATTATTTTTATAAAAGTATCGATGGGTAAATAAAACTGCATTATAACCAATCAGATTTAGTAGAATCCCACCAATCAAGTGTTGAGATACATTGGGATAATCTCTGTGATTGGAAAGTCAGCAACTCAAATCGACATTCTGATTGGCAGGCTCCGCCATTACTTAATCCGCGACCTCATCCGCCTCATGGAGCTGAAGTTACTGCCATACTTGAACATAGTAAAGACGTGCTTACTTTATGCAGATGCAAATTTGTGTGTGGTCGGTTTGGTGGTCAATACAGTATGGAGATTTTGCAATTCAATCCATGTTCGCGTCCGTGAAAAAAATGGCACGGACACGAATTAACAAGGTGCGTACATCGTTATGGACAACGCGAAGTACCACAAGGGACGCCCTCAAGGAACACCAAGCAGTCGCCAGTGCAAGCGAACCCTCCAAGAAGCGTGCGTTGCCTACGCCATCCCCTTCGAGGAAAAGGAATTTAAGAGCGCCTTGTGGCAAAAGCTGTCGGAGTACATTTAACAAAAAGTCGAGCCCCAAATCAACCAAATGGCAGCGTTGAAGGGACACCGAGTTGTCTTAACCTCGCCTCATCACTCGGATTTGCAGCCAATCGAGTTGGTTTGGGCGATTGTGAAAGGCCAAGTCGGGCGGCGCTATACTGATGAAACCGGCTTGTCTGAGGTCAAGGCGCGCCTTGAAGAAGCATTTGACGACCTGAAGCCCAGTTCTATTCAAGGCTGCATCAAAGCTTCCGAGGTAAAGCTGCAAAAGCTTTACGACCATCTTGTGGAAATTGATGCTTTTGAATCGGATGAGGATTCATCAGCACAAAGTAGTAGCGCCACTGATGATAGCGACTGTGAGCACTCTAGTTAACATGCTAAACCTTCGTGCATATAAATACTCTTAAAATAAATTTGTACCTTGCAATAAAGTTTCGAAAGTATAGTTCTACTCGCTAATTGTATACCTCTCGAAGTCTATATGAATTTGTCGAAATCACTCGATGCTGTCGGGGACTGTAAATTTAGAGCGCGTCTGGCAACACTTTTTTTCTCAGAAATATTGTAATAAAGTACCCCAAAACGCCATTTTGAGGCAAAATGGAATAATGCAAATCTGAGTCACGCGTCTGGCAACAAAATGGGAGGATCATTTTTTATTGAGATATTGCCAGTATTATGGCGTTTTAAAAATACGGCTCCAAGGTCCATTTTGATTATTGAATAATGGTGTTGGACTATGAGTTGTTTCGGATTCCACATCATTTACAACCAGAAACACACGCACCATGAGCTCCAACGCAGTTTGGTTGAGCTGTGTGACCTGGTGGTCAGTTAATCACATCGTAAAAGAAACTTGTCACACTTCTGCATTGCGAGGGGAATCGTGGATTGACGAGTTGCTCCAAGGAAATGTCCGACGGTTCCGCAATCAACTGTGCATGCTGCCTGGTACATTCATTGCACTTTTGGCGATGCTTATGAACAAGGGATTGCTAAGCCCAAGTCGATACGTGTCAGCCAAAGAAAGGTTGGCAACGTTTCTCTACGTCGTTGGCCATGCCGCTTCAAGCAGACAAGCACAAGAACGATTTCAACGAAGTGGTTGGACGGTCACGCAATCAATGAACGAGGTACAATATACTTGTTCTCATCATCATGACGGTTAATTATAGGTTTTGTCGGCTATGGTCAGGTTGTACCCGACGGTCATGCGTCCCCCTGGGAGCAGTATTCCGTGGGAAATTCACTCGAACCCCAAGATGTTTCCATTTTTCAAGGGCTGCGTCGGCGCCCTTGACGGCACGCACGTACCGGCGATCCCTCCGCCATCTGGAGCAAAGCCGTTTCGAAATCGAAAGGGTTATATGAGTCAGAACATCCTAGCGGCGTGCACATTCGATTTGAAGTTTACTTACGTATTGGCTGGATGGGAAGGTTCTGCATCAGATGGGCGTGTTCTCGAGGATGCGCTGCTGAACAAAGGATTTGTTATTCCCCCGGGAAAGATGTATCTTGGTAAAAATATATTTTAATATCTATTAATAACATATTTTAATATCTATTAATGACATATTTTAGGTGACGCTGGATACGGTCTACACCTTAATCTGTTGACGCCCTATCGGGGAGTCCGTTATCACCTACGCGAGTGGTCA